AATTGTGACATAGCAAATCAGTAAATTTAGATGCTATGCCTCCTATGTGCCCACTTTGCAGTGGCAATGTTACCACTCTTTTCATCTACAAAACTTGTGAAAGTTAATCTCTTGCTACAAATTATGTGAAATATTATTTCAGAAATAAACATACTTATGAAAGCAGTGCTGTTTGTGTGACTTTGATAAAAAAAATTATGAACCTCATATATAATGTCATGACATTACAGACATACAAATTTTTAAATTTTACAATGCGTGGACATTTAAAACTGAAGCGTAACTTTCTTCTCTTAAGTTCTACAGCCTTAATCAGGTTCATCATCCCTGTTCTACAAAAATTTATGCACAGAAAAAAGTTATATATACAGTTTATGCCATCAGTAGGCATTAAAATAGCTAAGAAAGCATATGAGAAGACTGCAAAGCTCCCAATATAATTCATACCCGTGCAAACGACATTCCTGGCAGGTCAGGAGAGCCAACTTTTGGAAGGACATGAACTTCTTCATACATTTGTGATTCCAGACTTAAGTTCTCAGCTTCTACAGTTGCAGATGAAATGCTCTCATGAGATGGAGTGGGGATGTTTGCCATACTTGACTGAACGGAGGCAGAGAAGTTTGTACTGAAAGTGGGAAAAGGTGCAACTGTTAGTCATTTTAAATATGGACAGGGGGGAGGGGCATGTAGAATTTTAAATATAACAAAACCACTTTGTAATATAAATGAGCCGGGATAGCTCAGTCAGTATAGTGACTAGCTACGGGCTGGACGGCCGGGGTTCGATCCCCGACGGGGGCAGAGGATTTTTCCTCTAGCCTCTGCGTCCAGACCGGCTCTGGGGCCCACCCAGCCTCCTCTACAATGGGTACCGGGGTCCTTTCCCGGGGGTAAAGTCGGCCGGGGCGTGATGCTGACCACTCACCCCCATCTAGTGCCGAGGTCAAGGAAGAGAGGAGCTATATCTCCGCTAACCCCAAACGCCTACATGGCGTATAGTGGGACAAACTTTACTTTACTTTACTTACTTTGTAATATAACATATTTTCAACAAAGACATCAAATCAGAACTTCCAAAGTGGATTCATACAACCCTGGATAAAGTCCAACAGGAGGTTTCTATTAATCAGAACTTTCTTCACCCACCAACTACAAACTGCTCAAGAATACCCTAGCAGCAAGTCTTTAACATACATGTGAATTACCAGCCTCTAAACACTGACTAGAGAGAATCATGGAAGGCCTAGCAGAATCATCAATTTGATTGTAAAAGCGTCAAGTACAATGACAAGGGAAGCAAAAACCTGACAATCTCACTACTTACACAGCAGAATCACAGTCAATTCCACACTGAGGAAAGTGGTGTTGTGATTCAATGCGTATATGAGGTGTAGGATACCGACCCCAACGCCGGTTCTCTTCTTCAATAATTTTCTTTTCTCTGCGCCTTTCATCCCGGGCACGACGCTGGCGGCGTTGTCTTCGTACTTCCAGTTGGTCTGGAAGGGCACTGATTCATTAATTCTTATACTGCCAAGATCAATTAGAGCCAACAGAAAAAAAAAAACATTGCCAGCATCAATGAGATTCATCCTCAACATTTATGAACAATTCAAATCCAAGAAATTCATTTAAATAAAAATTCAACAATTTTTGGTAAAGATATGAAACCAAATGAATGATAAACATAAATAAAGCAAGATTAATATACCCAAGAATTCAAATATAAAAACACTTGCCAGACCAACAAAGCATAGGCCATAAACATGGATCTGAGGACCAAAACTGAAACGTTTATCTCCTTTCATAAAGACGTATTTTTCCTTTATCATCATCCGTATCATATCTTTACAAGATATTTACCATCTAAAACATGTGCACATAAAAAATGCAACTGCTCGAATTAATGTGTGTAGTACGAGAATGCAGAAAAATGGGGTTATAATACAAGGTACTGAACCAAAGGTCATACCATTTGTAACCATGACTAGAAACTTATTACATAATGGGATTTCCCACTAAATTTAGCAGTAAATTAATATTTGTACAGTGCCATTATTTGTAATCAACCCTTCACTAGACTCTATAAATACATAATTTTTTTTAAAAGAAACCTGGCATTGTAATTATTACACAAACTCAAAGCACACACACCTTGGAAATGGTCTATAGTTTCTTTTGACACAATCGGAGGCTTCAGCTGTATTTCAGCTACCTCAAACTGGCAAGTTATTGGAAGATGCTGAAGATAGCGTAATCTACGCCGCAGTTCTTCTGTCATGGAACCTGATTCCTTTTCAATGATGCAACCTGTTAAAGTTGGAGGACAGTGCTCCAGGGATCCGTAATAGTGCTGCAACATGCGCACGTTCAAGGCATGCAGATATATGTGTTGACCATCTTCAGCTGCAAAATAAATCAGAACAGATTAGCAAGAACCACAGCTCTATTAGCTTTTCAAGGACTCTGTTCCACAGTTTTAGTAAGAATGCACTACAAAATACTGCAAGGTACCAAAAATTAAAAATACAATTATCTGTAAAATAAATAATGGTAAACAGGATTGATTCCTTACCCTGATAAAAATAGAAATGTTTGACCGGTTGTACTTCTGACTGCCTAGTATGCACCTGAAGATTTGTGGGAATCTCCAAGTCTTCCACTCTAAAGGCAGTGTTACCATCATCACTGCTCATTCCCTCACTGCTCACGCTCTCGTAGCGACATCTATCCGTATTTTCTCCAGACAATTTCAAGCAGCTTGGCTCATTACAGCTCGCATTTTGTTCCAGTGCCATTAATGACTGATTCTCATCTGAAGGTAAAGATGTTAGGATGGGAGAATTATCCAATGCAGCATAATCATCGTCAAATGCCGAATTATAAACAACGTCCTGCAACCAAACAAGATCAGATAAGCACTCTGAATATTACAAATGAATACATCGCAATACAATAATTTTTGCGTACTTACACTACTAAGAAAAGATGTTTGAAAATAAAATTTTCTTGGCAATTTTATGCATAGATTGCAAGCACTGTATTTATCAGATTATAAAACAACTTAAAAATTCCCTTCACACTGGAGATTTTAAAGATAATTAATTGTATTAGTTATTCAGATAAAATTATTAGGTATAATTGTGGAATGAATATACCTTCCTTTCTCTTCATAATGGTCTATTTTAGGTCCACTGAATGCTTTTGAGGCACCAATTTTCTCCTCCAATACCATAATACCTGAATGCCTTTTAATTAGTCTCTGACATACCTAATAACAAGCGTTCAAAATGACTATCATGCGAGGTTTGTACGAATTAAGATATCTGCTTATATGATGTCTTTCTTTCTTCCTTCCATGGTGACACTGGATAAATTCCATGAAGTGCTGCAGTAACAGTTTGGAAAATATACTTAATGGTCTAAAAATATTTTCATATTGATATTATACTCTATTCAAGTTTTGAGATATGTCAGTTCTGAAATACCGATTTTCCCCACACACTGCTGATTCAAGCTTCTCAATTTGTGTTTGGAAGAGGATGCTGAAGATAAAAAAATATCATCATCACTGTGTCTGTCCACAGTCAACTAAAACCCACCAATGGATACTGAAAGCTGGTTCAGCACTGTCAAACAGCAGGCAATGGTATTAGAAGTGTTGATCGAACCTTCAGGTTCTGATACTAGATACTTAAGTTATTGTTATACATACTGGTTTGCTTTCTGCTGAACTTTTCTGAACATTCAATTCTGGTTTGTCATTTTCAGTCTGCACTGTTAATATCTCCTTAGATAACGCTGCATGTCTTTCGCTCAGCAGGTTAATCGCTTGCTCAATAAAGCAGGTTTCAGGACAATTTTCTTCTTCAGACAACTGCTTCTGAAGTTCATTTCTCTCGTGGTTGACGATGGACATCACCTATATATAAACCATTCTGTTATGCATCTGTTACGGGGGAGAGTAAACTGAATAATAAAGTACACTGTTAAGGAATAGCTTGAAAATATTGGATTACTTCATTTGTAAACTTTGAGGAAGCCATTGTAGCCTATTTGTAATGGACTGTCCCGGCATTTCACTACAGACACACAAAGACAGGAAAGAAAGGAGGTGGTAACCCAGATCAAATTTGAACATCTCTGGTATATGAGTTGGGTGCATCTTGCCAGGTCCAGCTGCTCAGCAGAGGTGGAGACATCACATATAGCACTTGAAAATATTCACCTCTTGTGGTGTAGCCACGAGAAGTTTGGAGTGAACTGTATCCACGACGGTTTCTGACACAGACAGGAGTTGGTCAATGGGACGAATGCCACACTGATCTACGGGCAGAGCAACGAGTGAACCTCGCTCACGTTTCATCAAACGCATAGTGACTTCCTCCCCGACTGAAAGCTGCATGTGGGGTACTGCAATTACACTGCGGAAGAAACACTTTCACACAAACCATTCAAAGCATCAAGGTGACATCCTAACAGAAAATGTCAAGACTTTGAGTGCTGGCAATGTTGATTATTTTACATTGGCTTTTACTAATAACTGCAAGGAATCAAGTTAAAAAGAGAGTAGTTTTGCTCTAATTTGGAATATGCATTTTCCAAATACCTACTTGACAGAAAAATTAATTTACTGCAACCACAAAAATATTATTACAAATCTTATAACTGCAGATATAACAGTGCACTATCAGAAAATTTTATATACAGGTTGTTAAATACTAAGGATCTTACCAAAACCAAAAAATGTATATGGGTTGGGGTAATAAAATTGATGATGAAATGCATACCACAACTGAGTTAAGACCCCCTTTGAAATATGCCCATTTGTAAAACTGGGGTGGAAATGGGAAGATATTATTGGAATGGATCACAATGAAATAGTCTGTTAGAATGGAAGGTTAATAAAACTGCCACAAGATTATATCCAATGGTGTAATCTGGTGTTTAAAAGGTGTTAATATAAAAACACTTGATCACCTGAAGATTGGAGTAGAGGAAAAAAAAAAGTATATCTAAGATACTTGAGACAAGAGATAATACCCAACATAGCATTCCCATATCTACGAACAGGTATTAAATATGAACTCTCTCTCCTACCTTCTTAGGTCTTGTTTATGCACTGCTTCATAACAGATAGGACATTTCCGCCATGTTTTATCAGAAAGAGCCAAATAGTGAAGCATACAGGGCCAGCAGTAAATGTGGCCACAGCGGGTCATCTTCGCAGCGACTGGTGGATACAGGCAGATTGGACAGGACAACATTTCAGAACTCTGAAAACGCTGAAAACAAAACATGCAAAGGCATGAATATGGACACGGCAAACAAACACAACACACTTACACACACACAATAAAGAAGTTTTCTTCCTTACTATCTGTTCAATGAAGTCCCAGTTTACCAAAACATCAGGATTTGAAGTGTATGGTGTATAATTACCATCAGCCTTCACCACAAACTGGCAACTGAAAAATGAAAAAGTCAATACATTTAAACAGACCTAAAGAGCAAATGTCTCTGGCATGGCAATTTCAATGCTATGAAAGGATAGCTTTTAAGGTTTAAAAAGATTAATCTTTTGATAACTTACCCCCTACAGTCAACATTTTTAATTCAAAAGAAAATCTATGGAACATTTTGGGATACAAATTTAATGTTACATAAATTGGCCCTCATCCTCAGATGGTACTCAGTGAAAAACTTCTTGTCTTTCATATTCCTACAAACACGCCTCGTGAGAAAGCACGATTTGGCTTATTGGACGAGAGTTGAAATATGAAAGCAGAGAAGTACGTATAAAATTTGCTAGTTTCACACTAGTAATGAATCATGAAACAGAATAAAGAACTTGCTCTGCAAGAAACTGTTTGTATCACAGCTGCTTCCGCAAAAGCTCTGAAAAGAGCAATTTGGTGACAGAACAATAATCTTAAAACTTTGCATATCGTGTAGTGTAATAGAATATAGAGTAAGCAAACCAACAACTATTAACACTATAATAAGACACTATTGCCATAGTGCCGTGTGTCCAGCACATTCATCTAATCTTACTAAACGTGACTTATTTATTGGGTAACTTGTAAGATAGACAAGGAGTTGAAGGAGCACATCTGAAGACATTTCAGATATTGCTAATGAAGAACTTCTTTCAAATCCCTTTTGAATGACACAACACGTGAATATATTTAGGAATAACATTTTCAGCTCCTCTCATACTTCAGGTAAGTTGCTTTTAAAATTATGGAGTGGTTCCAGACTCATGTTAGCATTAACTGGCAGTGCTTGGCCAATAATAGGCTGTCACTAGTTAGCAGTGACAGAAACCTTCAAGTTTTTAAAAATACGCACTAATATTTGTACAGCAGTGCAATGGTAAGTGTTACAACATCACAAATGGAAAATAAATGACCACGTAAGATATCTAGAACGAGGTACAAAATTTTTATGAAAGTACACAATAAAGTGGGGGGAAAAGCAGACACATTCATACATGCAGTCTGTTCATTCTTACTTCGTCCTAACAAAACCAGTTCGTATCCTTCTGCCTTACATTATGGTGATTGGTGCTTTTGCTTGCATGTCGTCTGTTTCTGCGAAGAACAGGACAATCTCTTTCATTTAAAATGTAGCTATCAAAGCATAAACATAAACATGTTTCTGGTAATTTCAATTTCTATCACTATTTCTTTAATGTCACGTACGTCCTGACAATGGCCCAATGGCAGCATTCACCAATCACGCGTAATTGTTTATGCCAGGACTGAAGTAAGAATGAACATATAACAAGAGTGATTTTAGGAGGACAAAGAGGAATGCAGGAGGCTTTATAATAATGACACATCCTGATGAATACGTTAATGGATGTTGATGATGACTGCAATGCCTTTGAAACTCACTTTGCTTGTAAGAACTGCTCCTTGTTATATTTGTGTTTGTGGGTAGATGTTAACCACCGAGCAGAACCATGCCGTCCCACACCTGATGGAAATGAATGCCAGTGGCCAGAACCAGGTACAACACCCTCTCTTGGTGCATAATGGAAGTTCAGCAGATGGTTTAAATTCTGTTTCTTATTTCCTGGCACAAAAACTGAGCCAATCTCATCTGGTACTACCTGTGCACATATAAAACTTCATTACAATGATATCTCAATAATAAAAACAAGTGTTGAAAGCACTCCTGGAAGAACTACAGATGTGGCTGCATCCCACCCTCCCTTTCATCCCCTCCTGTCACTACAATCACCAATCACCATTAAAATAAGAGTCCTGTATACAAAACCAAAAGTATTCTATTTTTTCTTGGAACTGACACACATATAATGAATCATATACATTAAACACATAACACATGAATGTTTTCCACCTACAAGAATATTACTAGCCAATTCAGAAAAATACAAATTAAGTTGGTTATGCTAAGCCAACACAAACTAACCCTATGCCTTACACGAAAATACAAATTACAATCTAATACTGTCCTACACAAGCCATGAAGAGATAGGTAATGCAATTCCAAGATGTGGAGATGTGTGTAGGCCTTACTTATGGCAACTCCTTTTGCATGTTCTTTACCTTGGTATTCTCCTTTCCACAGTTATAATACTGTCCTCTGGGCCGTGGCCTTTTGTCGAAAGATTTACTCTTTTGTAAGACTGTCTTCCTATTTGGATCAAACTTCGTGCTACTAGATCCATTTGGCTCTCGCCGTCGCACAGCACGGGGAAATAGTTTACTGTTAACGGCATCTAAAATCAGATATATGGATTAGTTTTTATGTACTTCATATAACCACATGCCTAGTGTGGAGGATATGGCAACTTTTTCCTTAAGCATGTTTAACAGTATAAAAGCTATGAAAATGACAGCCTTCCAGGATATGGTGCCATATAATCCTGAAGAATGTGATCGAACATCTCAGAGGAATTTACTACCTCCACCACTCCTCAGATGATGGAGGAAGTAAGCACTTCTGAAATGTCAATCAACTTCTACAAGACTACATGGTCCAATGTCCCAAAAAGCTGTCATCTTCATACTCACCATCACAAGAAACAGAAATTACATAAGCTCATCCTTTCATTCAAAAATTTCACCTGTATTTTAAACTAAAATAAAACCTAGACACTTATTTGTTTCCTTATATTATTCCTTAACAGAAACACATACCCACCTTCTGTATACATTAAAACAAGAGAAAAAGGTGACAGTGGAACCACGGTTCCGGAGAATCTGACGTAAATACGTCTCTGTAATGTAATGAAATGTAAGGTAATGTAATAATTCTTATATAAGATAAGTACTTTTGATATTCTAAAACCTTTTTACCAGCTCAGCTCTTTCCGCAATAACGAAAGCGGATTGTTGACGGCAGTAACGTAACACATCAATGCCGAATAAACAGATGATGTGACAATTAGTTTCTTAGGTAACATAACAATGCACGAAGGAGTTCATATAAAAGCTGACCATTGTTGTCGGTCCATATTTACACAATGTTGATATTGATCTTTGACATCCTTGTTACGCCTTTTTGCCGAATGACCCTTCCGTATAGACGTATTTACGTCGAAACTGGAATTGGCACACATCCCCACCAATTACATTACAGGAAAGGCTGCTTCGCTATAAATTCGATTTTTATAGAAACCACCCCCAACGTTAACTGTATCTTACTGCCATTATTACGCACTAAAGAAATTTATCTCAAAATGATGGAACTAACTTGAACATGAAATCAACATTACAATTTCTCGTACCGAACGACACATTGGTCCTACCAAGGTCGTCATCAAGACCAAATTACAGTTGCTACCGAATAACCTACCTTGACTTTTCTTCAGTTCAGTTCCGTTTGCCTTCCCAGGGGCTTGAGCTGAACGACCTGATGGTTTCTTTTCCATTGTATAATCCTCTAACATCTACAGCAACACTACTGGAGAAAAATTCTCCGCATGGAGATACGGCAATAATATTCAGGCCCGTCATTTTTTTCAGCAAGCCATGATTAATTATTATAAATTATAAAATACCTATTACCGGTAGTGCACAATCAATTTTAAATTAAGTAGATTCTTAAAACAAACTGAAAAAGACCCTCTTGGGAGCAGGGCACTCCCTGTCGTCGAAAACGACGATTTCAAAAACGATTCCAAATAATCACTGGCGTCGCTTATATGGCGACGGCCAACAGTACCTTGTTACACAACTAAAACCTGAAATTCGCAATGCATGTCATATTAAATGTTCTGCCATAAGCACAATGGAAGCGTTGCTTACTTAATAAAAATATTAAGCTGACATAAAAATGTGATAACTCAGTAGCGTTACCATGCTTAATAAAATTCACATTTAATTATTCCAACCATATTATCCGGTTCCATCGCGTACTCCACCACCTTTTACATTTACCATGGCGGGATTTTAAACTCTGTTCAAGCTGTTTTGTATTTGGTATGATTTCTGCTTCTCAAGGAGGCGAGTATGGAAATGTTCTGGGATATTCCGTAAAAAAAATTACAGACGATTTAGAGATGCTTGTTGCATCCACTATCAGGGCAGGAAGCATCTCCATAATATTGGTAAACCTCTACCAGACTACACAGCACAATATAAAAAAAATCTTCAGTTCATATTTGTGCTTTTACCATGAAGAGCAAACATTTATTTGTCAGTTTCTTCAGTTATTTCAGCTTATCACTGAAAAATAAACAGAGATTTGTCATCATTTTTGGATAGCAGTTTTAAGAACTTAAAAATTTATACTCCTCCTCCAATAGTCAGGGTGCTTAAGTTGAGTAGTCCTAAAATGCTGATTTTTAACAAACTGACAGCCTGAGAAGACTAACAGTTTTCATAAATTACACTCCCATTTCAAAATACAACACAAAGTTAACCACTAGCAATAAAATGAAGAGTTTTCTTGCACATTATTTCTTTATTTATAAAGTTTCATCCTGGTACATTGTGATATAAACCCCTTGGACAACATACATCATATCACTATGTTATTTAATTTGTCTATAAATGGATGGGTCTTCGGGAAAATAGGGTTGGACGGTGCTGACTGGATTCAGCTGGCTCAGGATAGGGACTGGTTGTGAATGCAGTAATGAACCTCTGGGGTCCACATATGCTTAAACATGTCTGGTGTCACAGTGTGTTATTCACGCATGATACCTAGTGTGACTATGTCATGAACTTCTACATAAGAATATCTGTATAAACTGACAATCATATTTTGCACAATACAGACAAAACTTGTATCTGAAGTCACAACATGCAGCAAACCAAATATTTTACCTTAAGAGGCTGACTGCTATTAGGTTAAAGGGGAAGGTAATTTATGAATAAAATGTACATACATAAACAAAACAATATTGTGCATTAATAAAATACAAGTATGGTTAAACAACAGAAACATAAAACACACAAGTATGGAATAAAGCCACTTTACAATAGTGCTCACTTATCACATTCAGAATTTCTAGCAATCTGAAAACATGACCCAACTTTTAGCTGATATTAAAGTTCTTGGCATAAACACATTTACATTTTATAAGAGATATAATATTTATAACATATTACACCTAAAATAGTAAAGAAATGCTACGTTATTTAATTTTGATCCAATCAAACACTTAGGTTTAAGTTTGTATGGAAATTAAAAGATCGTGCATAACACCAGTGGTCTGTTACCTTAGCATTTCCCAAACTGAGAAGGATGGAAGATATGCCAACATGAAAAATCTTTTCACAGTAAATAATTTTGCTCACTGGCTAATTTTTATTGACAACCAAAATTCTAGACTTACCTGTACCTTCATTTAGACATATAATCTCTGGAAATATATAAAAGTTGAAAAAGAAAAAATGAATACTCACAGTGGCAAAACCATTTCCAACACTGATATTGAGAACTTTCCCCTTTTCTAAACTATCTCCCACCTGTATTCTGCTGCTAACAGTCACATCTAATCAAAAAGATATCCCAATAAAATTCTGATATACCAAGTACAATCAATATCCTCTGAGCCTTAGAGGATCTATGCACAGTGGATATCCTATATACTTTATTATTCTGACATCAATTATACAATTATTTGTATAAAGTGAAGCTTTCGCGGCAATTAAAGTTGATGAAAGACTCTCGGGTTACAAGCCGCATCAGGTGGCTGAATGGTGAATAAACAATATCTTCTGCCGTTTCAAGAGCAATCTCTGCTCTCATCCTCAGGGTTGCTGCGTAACAAAACTGGTCCTTTGTAGCACGCTCACTGATGGCACTACAAAGGATCAGATTATTGTCCTTGAGTAGTGAATGTACTTATCATTATGTAAGAGCAAGATCTTCACAGAAATTAATTTTGTTCAAAAGAATAGCTGGTTAGAACAGTTTGGGAAACACTGTAAAAGTGAAATACCAGAACACAAGACACTGCATGTTCCAGAATAAAAATATAATTGTCAATAAAACAAGTTACTGTATTTCAATGTCTTCTTTACTCTCACTTATCTCTGTAAAAATTAAGAACAAACTAAATTTCTTTATGTATCACACATCCTATTCTTACAAAGACAAAAACAATGAAAAGTTTCTTCACCTGAGTCTGAAAGATTTAGCCACAGGTATAAACATGTAATAAGTCAGCAAAAGGATTGACTGGGAAGACTTAATTTTTGGAACATTTCAACAGGAATCATTTTGTGCTGTCTGCTATTATGTGTTCTACAGAATGACCTTGCAGCCATGTGACCGTAACACACTAAACTATGACAAAAGAAGTCATTATTGGCAGGCCCAATACATGATATCACAGAGTGTGAAAATGACTGGTGTTATTTTGTTCAAAATTTAAAATCTGTAGAGTTTAAACAAATTTTGTTATGGAATGTAATGAAGTTTACATAGATCAAGGGTTTAAACAAAATAATGTGTCTTTTGCTACCAATTAACTCCACTCAGAGCCTACCAAGTTTTCTGAATGTTTACAGACAATGATTTTCCATGACAAACCATTTTCATAAAACAATGATCACTTGATTAAATTTTGGCAAAAAGATGTGCATGAATCATACAGTGAAATACAGTATTTATAATAATAATAATTATTGGGGGCATTTTATGCTGAAAAATGAAAACTGTACAGTAAGATGAGCATTAGCCCCAGAACACATGTACAATAATACAACTTCAATATACTCAAAAGCTTTATAAATTAAACTAAGCAAGCTGCATATTTAACTAATAAACTATTGCTACTTAATAAAATACGTGCAAGTCCCTGATCAGGGAATGTACCTGATATGGGCCAAAACAAACTGACATGCTGTCATGCTCATGACAATATGGCCTGCAATTTGAACATACAGGATAAATAGTGGACAGTTTATAGTATTTAAAAATTGAAGGTATAACTAATTTCTGATACAGGGTCACATTGAGAAGACAGTCAGTGGTTCAAGAAATTCTGTACAGTGACAAAAATCAAAAGATCATTACCATATCAAACATTCTGCCATTGGACCCAGTCATAAACCATTTCAAAACCCTTCACATTCTAAAACCATTTCCTCTAAGTATCATACAATATAATCCCTCCATCTACACCTTGATCTGTATGGCATCTCTTCACAAAATTTCTTTAACCGAAATTTTGTACCCATTTGTTTTCCCTCATGCATGTAACACATATAATTCTTCATAACCTCACAGCTTTATAACACAGATAAAACATTACCTATGAAAGCTCCTGATTATACAAACCTTTCCACGTTCCCTCTGTCCACTGTACTATGGCATCAAAGTCAATACTGGGGCATTTCACGAGACAGTGTCTGTCACATACATACTCCATACTAGAGATAAGGGGGGAAAAAAGGCCTACAAAAACTTTAACCCAACCCATCACTAAACACTGTCACAAGTAGTGAAGAGGAAAAATAAATGTTACTAAATATTACTGCAACTAGTACGCACTGTAAACTACTGTTTGACTAATACACCATTTTGTATAACTTTGTGAATATACATTGTAATAAGTCTTAATACCTGGCTCTGGAGAGTCAGCAAAATATTAATACCATTTAATTTAACAGAGAATAATCACACAGTTCCTTCTCAAATACTTTCATTTACATAAGTACTAGAATTATAAATGTTTTAATAAATAAACTTGAAAATGCATCCCACTTTTAAGTACAGTAGAATACAAATTAAGTACCAGTAAATTATGATGTAGTTGCATGTTTCCATAAATTCTAATTTCCCTAACAGCAGACAAAATTTCCTAATTTTTTATGGTCATGGTGCAAATAACATTTAACAGTACTAACATCTCATAAAATAACAACAGAACAACAAAACAAGTTTCTAAAACTCTAAAATACTGTGCAACACATATATAACCTACAAAAAACAGTACTGATCCTTTACAGCCTCTGCTGGATTCAACCCAATATTCAAGAAGTAATGTCCCAGTCCAATAATTTTAAAATTAAAACTGGACCTTATGGCGTGCATGTGTTCAAATAAATGGATCTCAAAGACAGTACTTTGTTGAACACACTCCATTTATCAGAAAATAATGTCTAAGTCCAATGCTGGACTAAACAAGACATTACTAAAACAAACAAAATGAAATCTGGTAGTATATTATGTGTTAAAATAATGGAATTCAAAGGATTAAAGTACTTTGACAAGTACTTCCGTGACGTTACACAGCTGAGACAAAATACTAATGCCAGATGTAATAACAGCAAAAGAAATGTAAGGTTTGAGGTTGTCACAGTGGTGAAGATATGTTCATCTGGGTTGTGACACTACACAGACTCACAGGCAGATACCAGTGTTTCAGAGAAACATATCATCTCCATCTTGAAAATGACTCTTGAAATTTAACCTCAAAAATAAAACACTCACAGTAACTGGCAGAACATTTTCTGGGCAATCTTACTTGAAATGCCCTTTGTCTGATACACACTGAAAAATACTGACCTTTCACGAGGTCAGTTGCACTAGATAAACATGGGCTTATGGGAGGAGCCCACTATAATGAAAGATGCTAACAACCCTGCACCGTAAAGAAGGAAGATGTTTCGAAACCTCAATCAAAGCCTCGGACAGACGGACCTAACAGAGGGCCGAATGGAAGAGGAGAATTGAGGAGGCCATGGACCGAATACGGACCGGAGAGCCAATAGGAGGCACTAGCAACCCAATATTACAGATATGAATTATCTATTCAGTGATGAGATGCACTCAGTGTTGTAAAGCCTGGATGGGTCAAAATGCTTAAGGAAGATGAGTCAGAGCTTGAGGGCTTCAATGCTGATGTCCAGGAACTGTGGTGCAAGATGCAGAAACTGTCCATCACATGGAATAAGTGCCCATGTCTCCACAACTGACAGAAAACTGAATATGAAGATGGTACATTTCTCTGAAATGTTGGTCTACATGGTGTCCCAACCCATAACATCATTATTATTGTCCTGTGGTTTCACAAAATACTGCTCAGTTCACTGCACAAGAGAGTTGGTACCGCATGACACATGTGCATATTCATATTTGTGCACTCAAAAATGTGAGACAAAGATACACCTAAAAACTGAATTTGATTGACAAGTTTTATAGTAGCTTAACTATACTATATTTCAGCATATTCAAACGATATTTTCAGAGCCGAGACAACACCAGAACTACCACTATGATCTAAGTTTCTGTGTATATGCCTTGTATAAAATGTTATCACAGCCTGTCATGTCAGAGCTGAGTTAAAAGAAGCAAATACGCTGGTGCTATGCAATTTTTTGTAAACCAAGTTCATGGCAATTCATCCCATGTCTATTATACCTACGTAAAACAGTACGTACATTACGAAAGAATATTATTACTGATGATATCAGTTGAAGTTCTTGTATTCTTTTACAGATGTACCCAACTACATGCAATACAGAAACCAAACTTGGACAAAATGTTCAACATGAAAGCTGTACTATTCACAAAACAACAACTGATGATGTGACAGCAAATACTGATAATGATACCTTCTGTCTATGTCCAGTACAGACAATTTTCTGTAAAGTTTCCACACTCACAGAAAATGTGCAAGAAAAGAAGTAACATTATCGGTGTACGCCTGTCAAATTCAGGATAATAAATCTCAATAATAGTGAGGGCTGCTAGATTTGCTGTAAATGCTCGGTTTTTATGGAGAAACTCAATGTTTTCTAAGCAGCATTCACATCATATCATAAAACATCCCTATAACTTCCCCACAAGAACCAATACATAATACACACCATTACTTCCTGTAATTCAGGGATCAAAAAAGTAGTGTATTTATCAAATTTCTGAGCAAACTTTCTAAACACAAAGATATGCACCAGTAGTAAGAGACTGTTCTATATCCTTGAGAAGAAAGAAAAAACTAAGAGAATTGGAGGAAAAGGAAGAAAGAGAAAAATGAGGAAAAGGAACAAAAAGAAAAATGAGGAAAGTAAGTTAGAAGATAGGAAAGAAAATTACATATTAAAGTAATGGAAAATAGAAGTTCAATGAATTCTGAGTTCTGCTACAAACAGTAAATAATCTAGTAACTGAAGATGTGACCAACACAAAATGAAGGAACATTTGGTAGAAGATGGAATAAATGTCAAATTCCACTTTCTACTGCAATGATTAGGCCTCTTGTGAACATTTCTTGCATTAATCTCTCTACTACAATTTTTCACCTCACTCTGCATCAAGAGAATTAGTTACAATCAGAGCTTGCACAAACAGAACAGCAGTGGTATGAAAGCTCCTATGGCAACAAAGACAGGCAGCATAACTGATGAGTCATCGATAGAATATGGATCTGGAGTTCGTGGCCCACTAGGTCGCCGGTTCTTTGCAGACTTTTTATCTTCTACTTCATCCCGATATTCTTCAGGCTCAGCTTCACTGGGTATAGGAGGCAATTTTGGGACATCTGTCACAAACACAAATATATAAAACAATCTCATTCTACCCATTTTAGGGTACCATAAACATAAATATATGAGAGACATATAACATAAACATAGATACATACAGAAATATTATTCTATCTATCAGTGTTAAAAACAACATCTTAATTATCAAAATAAGACAGTCAGTATTACCTTCAAGTAATCCTTTTATGACACAGATGGCATTGACCTTGGGATTATCTCTGTAACCCTGAAATGTGAATACATATTAAAGTCTAATATGACTGATGATTTAAAATATTTGATATGAAACTAGCATCTCATCTGGAGATAAGCATCTTCTGGTTTGCTGCCTTCATCATCAGGGCAATGATGGAGGCAGTAAGAACCTCTAAAACGTCAGTAAACTTCTATCAGACTACACAGTGCAACAACCCAGAAGACAGCCATCTTTGGACTAACCACAGTGAAAACCTCAAATCTCAATTAAAGAAATGTACCAAGACAGTTGAAATAATATTACCTTCACAGCACTGGTATATCTAAAACACTTATAATTTTACTTGCATAAGTGGGATATCCTCTGCAAATAATATGCATTAAACAAGCAGAAATGAGACACTATCTATATCATTACAGATGTTGACAACAATTCAGTTTAAGTATATGCAAGTTTGAAATACCAATCTTTGAAGAAATAATCACCTTAATAAATTCAACCCTGATTTTTCCACCTCTGATGTCTGACTCTTCTTCATTATAGTACAGTCGACCATTATTAACAGTGAAGGGAATGTACTCATCATGAGCATTACCATTCCCCACTCGGTCATAAATATCCAAGTCTGGAACTACTGTATGATCACCATTTAATACCACATCAAACACCTGCAGACATACAATAAAATTAATTATTATTACTCAGACTATAATATAATAGGCTTTAACTAACACTCTATTACCTAGTTCTCCAGCTTAAGTACCATCTTCAATAAGTTTTCTCAGTTACAGTAGTGATGATGATGACAACAACAACAATAATAATTACAAGTTCATTAAAAAAAAATTGTATTTACCTTTAATGAATGTAATATACTACTCATCTGTTATATTTCATTCTATTCATCAATATCTTATTTTCTGGTATGGTTTAAAATAAAGGTTTTCAACTATAATAGTCATATTTGGATCTGAAAGTGTTATAGTTAAATTTTACTTCCAAATGTATATTTCATTATTATTGAAGATGCCTAAATAGATATAGTGTTTTGTTATAAAACACACCTCAGCATATTTTGAAACCCCATTTCCAGGAACTCAAAGTAGTTTCTTCAAGTGAAGAATGTAATTCCATATTAACCAGCTTTCTGATTAACCACCCCTACCACTGGTCCCATTTATGTCAGTTACACTGAGTCCAATTTCACAGTCTTTCATTATTTTATTTATGGTTTATTTAAAGATACTGTAAATAGCTCAGACTATATTATACAGACTAGGATGACAGAACAGAATGATTAATGAGAATAAATGGCAAAGGATGTGAAAGTGGTCATGGTCTAATATAAGTTACCATCCTGGCATTTGTTTGCTAACCATTCAGTGTCTTTAACTTTGTTTGTCTGACAGAGTTGTAACAGGTTGTTTCACAGCAGACATTCTACAGCAACAGTGAGATGAGTTCATGAATGGTCAGTAGGTAAAGTCTGTAAGAAAGTATTCATTACCTATTTGAAGGTACTATCCTTGATTCTGTCTTAAGAGATTAATAAAAATAATGAGAAACACCAGGATAGCTAGTATCAAGCTGTAATTGAATTCAGTGTTACCACTATTTGAACCTGCCCTGTTCTATATCCAGTATGTCAGTTTTAAACGTAAATTTGGTGGTTATATAGTCAACCTTCCATTTTCACAACATACATAACACACTGATAATGTATAAGACTCTAGAGTTCTATGGGAAATAGTTGTACAGGATCCAGGTTCACATGGCACATATATAATCCTTGATAAAGTTCACCTATACGAAGAATCAATATAAATTAAATTAAATTAAATAACAGGACAATAAAATAAATGCCTATGAAAATTAATATTAGAGTAAATGTATTAACTTATAATGCAAAACCAAAGCAAACAAACCTTCATGTTTGGAGCATTGAAGTATACCTCACAGAATTTCAAAATCATAACATAATCACCATCTTCGTTAATTGGAATGTCATATCCAAATGTGCTATGATGATATCTTTCTGTCTGATATAATATATGGTCATTCGCAGGAGCACGACCGATTAAAAGCCGTTTTCCATAATCGGATGCTGTCCCCACTTTTCCATGTAAAGGGTCTTTCTCGTACCTCACTCCGAAACTGTCCGTGTGAGCTTCACCTCCTGCATTTATAGCATAGATAACACCCCCTATTCCAGTAACGTAATCAAAACAGTACACCAATAACATTAAAAAACACAAAATTGGCTTCAAATATAGTCTCATGTTTCTTGTAATCATACTGATGATTCACGTCAAATCAAATGCCGTCTCACCGAAAAGACCGATTATAATGTAGCATGTGTTCGAACATTTGATCTTGTGCACAATTTCAAAGAAAACAACTGAGACTACTGTGTTGTTTTTCGCTAGAAACGATCACATATGTAGGAACACGTGTCATTCACCGGTAAAGAAATTTTTGATTAGTAAAGACTTCGAAATCATTTACGATAAACACCACAGATATATGCCACAATTCGAACGCGATACGTCCGTGCCATCTCTTGGAAGGTTACAATAACCACCACAGGTATTCTTAACTTTGACACTAGATGGAGGTGAGTGGTCAGCTTCATGCCCCGGCCACCTATTTCTGGATAAGGAGCCACCAGCTACACGTTGGATACATACAATTCCCACAGAACGTAAATAGTACTTAACTATCTTTTCTCAACAAACCTGGGTAACTGAAAACATCTGTGTAATTCTAAGTAATTTACAACTATTCTCAATATTTAACTCAAAACCAACCACTAACGTAATGTACCTAAACCACCTGGCCAGGCAAAGGCAAATACTAACCTGATCTCATTAAGGTCTGCCTGTACATGCGTAAAATGTGCACACATGATCAGAGGTGTGCTTAGGCAACCACAACGCCAGTTTAACCTAACATAACCTAAATCTGAAGCAGAGATACAAAATCAGGCTTAATTTCTGATATACATGTACAATCACCAAACCTGAAATGAACATATAAGTAAACAGACTAAAACTGTGTGCCTTCTTAACTCTTGTGCATATTAAACAGAATTCTCCTGTATATATGTTTTTCTCAATCACTCCCATCAAATACTAAAAGATTATATTAAATAAAGCATGCAATTACCATACCATCCCAGCCAACTGAATCATCTTCCTCTTTTCTTTAGACAGTTATCCACACATACCACTTGAGCAACAGATAAAATATGAGTATTGTTAAATGATTAAGAAACAATTTTTCTGTATTTTAAGTTCCAAGATTTTAATGTTCTGTGACCCTCTCCGCCAAATTCCTAGCTGTAATTAACCATCAGAACACACAATGCAAGAAAGCAAATAGACATGTATGCCTATATCCACTTATTTTTTCCTACACGAAAGAGGCTGATATTCATATAACAGACTTTTCTTTTAAGGAAAGTTGAAAATAAAAATGTATTAAATCAACATACCTCTAGACTTCAGTAACAAATATTATATTTTGTCTTTTACAGAAGAAAGATAACACTGTACACATCAATAGACAACATTAAAATCTTAAAGCTTTCCCTGTATAATACTGAACCTGCTCCATGTTAACTCCAAGGAGCTTGAGATGCCTTTATTGTCTTGTCTGAACATTAAAAGATTACATAATTTGTATTGGCAAGAAAGATACAAATTGAGGCAAGAGTTTCTAACAGTCACCAAAAGAATTTCCCTTAGATGACTTTGCATCAAGCCTATATAAGTGCTGAACGAGGCTGCTTTTAAACCAACCATGCAGTATGCTTTAACAAAGACTAAAGCTTATTACTTTAGCATGGATTTAAGTAAAAGGATAGTTATGCATGGAAGTGCAGCTGACGTTCAAACTGAATATATCCTGGATAGGCATGCTAAATCTGAGCCAATGAAGGCTGAAGCAAATGTCATTTGAGGAGATAACACTGAAAAAAGTGACTATGTATACTGAGAAGCAACAGCAAAATGCCGTATGAGTATTGAGCCCCACACTCCACATATTTCCAAAACGGAGCAGAAAGGTGGCAATTTAATAGTACAAAGGTGGCAATTTAATAGTACAGTCACTTTTTGTTTAAAAATTTATACTGGCTTCATTATCTTCTTTGAACTCAGAGATGTTCAACCTGGCTCAGATCTAGTACCTACAGTATAACGTATCATACAAAAAATATCAGGTGTTATAGAAAACTGACAAATAGAAGTGTTGATGTAAAAGCAGCTGGAAGAACAATTGGCAAGATATTGCACTCACAGTATAGAAAGGATTAAAGACAATAGTTTACATTGGAACTTTGAAGGAATATTAAGCATGACAAGAATAATTACAGCAGTAATCTCTTTCATGCCTCTGACAAATCAGAGTACACAGAAATTCATACTGTGCACTGTACTAAGAACATGGTTTGCAATTAGTACATCTTGGGCTGGGTCTAGATACACCAAAGATATACGAAACAACAAGACTCATTTTAGAACATCATTTTAAACTGAACTTTTTACGCTGAAGACAGAGAACATGACAGACATGCATGTGTAACTTGTTTGTGAAATGTGATGCGATGGGTTGTACAATAACCCTCTCACATGCCAATTGGGACACTGCAGCCATGAGGACTGATGCCAACAGTCTATACTAAAGCTGACACAAACTGTAGAAAACTTTATCTGTGCAATTATTCATATGAATATTATGAAACTCATAATCTAACGAAACTTTAATAAGTGTGTACTATCTTAGATAATGAATGTTACCAGATAAACTTCATATTACCTAACAGTACAAGAGATTCTTCAAGAGGCTTTGCATTTCTGTAGTTGTGCCCCTTTGTTTTAACATATTCATACAGTTCATGGAATAATTCCCTGACAAAAAATAAATTTAGTTAAATTTACTGGAATAGTTAGATAAATTTTGTGAAGCTACAAATATGCTGTAGGCTGAAACATTTTTTGCAACAAGACACCGTTTCATTTTGATTCTCCACCTAGCCCCATATTATGACATCCTTTTCTGATGAACTCATAACGCACACCAATTTCAAGCATGTCACTGGTGTACAATTGTGTGTCTGTAACATTGTGTCTTCATCCCCACTGGGACGTGATGAAATATGTATGTTCAGAGTAGATCCTTCTTTACACATATAACATTAAAATAACATTTTCATATTATTAAGTTTTATACTGACTCTTTCAGTAACAGTATTAAAGATAAAAATATATGTAACAGTATAAGAATTTTCCCAGGTGCAAATTTTATATCAATGAAAAAGAAACCACCGATTCTGATCTTTTTTTCTGATCAGAAATTATTAATATAATCAAATTAATTAATGTAATATGACTTGGGCTTAGCGTAAGGTATGATGGAATAACAAGCAACCCACATCCCTTCCCTTCAAAAAATAAGTCACTGTGGATATATATATATAAAAAAAATCCCTTTCCATACCTACACATATGCAGACACCCACAGAAGACTAATCAGCCAGCCTCTTGAAATGCCGTTTTGCTGTCTGTCCACTTTTCTCATGAGTAAGTGTCTGAAAAAGGCCCAATAAAAATATAATCAACATATTTTAGTAAATGTAATGTAAAAAGGAGTTTAGAACTTATTCAAATTAGTGTGCTATGGCCTAAAGTTTTTATTTGCTTCACTGACCAATTAACATTTAAATTAAATTAAATGCACAAGCTATTTGCAGCTGTCAAAATATTAAACAAATGAAAACATTACTTAATAACTGAATTTGTACTAATTTAAACAAGTTTTGATGGTGGTATTTTAAAACAAGAAACATTATGATTCAACTCTAATGGGTTCTGATGAACAAAGATTATGGTTATAACATTTGAATTTTCCATTTCTGCAAACATAATCTGTTACTGATGGTGGGCTTCAGGGTTCTTGCACTATGTCTGCCCTGAAGATAAAAGAATTCTGTTCTTGTAGTTCTCTAAGCAATAACATAATGGACAAACTAATGAGGTTTGATGGTTATTGTACATACCAATAACATCCCTGTATCAGAAAAACTGTACGATCTTGAAGTCTGACTTCCGTCTGGTATTTTTGATATGGTTCTCAATTCATCATCTTCTAAAGTTGTTGTGTTCTGGAAATTACGTAATACTGCAACTACGTCATTATTATAACTCCAAAATTTCGCTTGTCAAAACCAAATTTTGTGATGATAGCTGGTAAGAGAAGCAGTAGCAATAATATTGGGAGGTATTAAGAAACAAACAAGAAGAAAACATCTGAAATAAGTACGTTGGGTGAAATCTGAAAGTAAACATCCCAAGTGTGCTATGTGTCTTGTACATCTCATTTTTTATTTATCACCCTACAAAACCAGAGTCCAGCCTTTTCAGCTCCAAGTCCTGGCCACTTTATACCAGAGAAATAGCCTATGTACACTTTTGAGAAAAGGCTTGGTAGTCTTCAGACAAATCATAAACATAGCTAATTGCTTTGTTATTGGATTATTTAATTACATGTCATCAAATGTATTGGTTACACAGCATCAGATGAGAAATGATATATCACTGGAAAGAGAGAAAAAAGTCTCATGAGAGTTAAGTGATGGTGAAGAGAAATATTCCAACACCCCTGCCAGAAACTGAAATTCAGAGGTCTAGTCCATAGATGTTGAGGTCCCAATGGCCATGAACTTAGAGCATTTGGAGAACATATTAAAATGAAGCTACCTACTTTCAATACCTCCCCAGATGGCATTACTTCATCATATTCTTCTCCAACTTTAAAATTCAATACAGTGGTTCGAATTAATGTTGAAGTTTTAACAGTCCAGATCTCGTCTTTACAAGAAATCTCAACTACAGGTGTGGAAGCAGCCATCATCTTCCGAGCCACATATGGAACACCTGCAAATTGTGTGTCAAATCAGTTATAGTCCCAAAAAAACACTGTCTTGAGGAAGTTATTGTTATGTCATTAGAAGCAAAAGGTAGATATTATATAGGGATTCATAGTCAGTAGTGTCTTATATATTTCATACTCTAAATAATAAAAACACAGAACACAGATAACTGCTGTTGTTCTTACTTAGAATTCTCTAAAAATACAAGCAAGAAAATTATTGTTCTGGTTACTGAAAATTCTCATTCAGGATAGTTCAGTAAGAGTAGTGACTGGCTACAGACAGGATGAACAAGGTTTGATTTCCAGCATGAAGTAATGGGAAATTAGTAATTTGATCGCTTAGAGGGTAATGGGAAATATATTTAATATAGAACCATGGAATGATTTAATACTGTGTATTGGATCAAACTGACACAGGCTCTTGTGAAAATATTTAACTTTCAGAATCTGATATAAAACTTGTTTGAAGTTTTGATACTACAAAATTTGGTGTTGCTTTCATTCAATTACTAACCAATTGCTTTGAAGTAGCCGTCCAAGTTTTCATTCTTCTCTAGCTGGTATTTTCCAGTTATCTTAACCATCTTCAGTTCTAGATGCCCTGATTACCTGTAACAAATTATTAATAATGCAGTTTCAACTGCAGGTTACATAGAACTGAATGTAATGGAAGAACATGGATGATGAATACAGAAACATATGGAGAGTCAATGCTCATTCGAAAGTACAGGAATTCTCTGGATAACCACCAGCACGCAGTAACAGAACAGCAATATTTTATACAGATAAATGAATATAAAATCATCAGCCTATTCCAAAACCTAACCTAAAAATAATACAGAATTCTTAGGCAGTAGCATTATTAAAACTGCAACATTATCTTCACTTCAACAGTTATTATGATGTAGAGGTTAGCATTTCTGCTTTAAACTTGAGAGGTCCTGGGTTCAAATGCTGATCTGAGGTTTACTGTGGTTTCCACCACTTCCTCAGTCCACAACTGCTTCCTTTCAAATTTAACCTTTTATCCAATACTATATAAGCAATGCAGTTGAAAGGAATTGTTAACCAAAGTGATTGCCATGAATTGTCTGCTATCTCCAAATTGGAGAACTTAAAATCTGCAATGGCATAAAATCTAGCCCACTTAAAAACCATGCTTATTACATCATACCAGTGCTCTTTCTGCAGCACTTTTGTCACCCCATCACATCATTAAAGTTTTGCCTATTCTAAGAAGGAACCCTGTTTGTGCCTATGCAAGGTGTGCTTCAGGTCCTAACATAGAATACACTGAGTATAGATACCTTGTGACATGCTTGAACACATCTGCTCAATTAAACAAGTTCAAGGCTCGGACTAGGTTGACCAGGGGGCCAAACAGAGTAGTGGTTTATACTATTGCCTTAAGACAGAACATTTGTTGGTTTCAATTACAAACACTTGGATGATGTGTAATGTCAACAAAATAAGTATACATATTCTATAATGTCCAATTTAAATTTGGGGGTACCTTGTTTGTTTCTGCTGAGGAAACAACTATGATGTCAGTATTTACAGATTATCTTCAGTCAGCTAGAATAACGCCTTGAAATAGAACTGAAATTTCTTTATAGTTTTTTCCCAGTTCACTGTAAACTGTATCTCAGAAGCTGAAGGCTGTACTCGACATGGTGTGTTTGAAACATCCTACAAACCAAGTAGTTTTGAAAATGGTATGTTGCAATGTTAGGAAAGGCTACTAAATATACTATGGTAATTTATTATTATAGTATTTGCACCGACTGCTCTCCTTCTGCCGCGTCCAAGAATGTTCTAAATAACAAAGAAAAAGGAGCAACAATTTTCGCACCCGAAATGACAACACTTAACCCATGCACGGACGACGCGTTTCACCAAACATCTGATACAAAATACACGTAAAAGTTACTGGTCGTTATCCAAAAATAATTTAAAAAGTTCAGCCATATGAAATAACATTTAAAACGTGATAAACTTGCTCATCAAGTCTCCGTAAAAATAACAATATTCAACTGTCAACTCATTTTTCTTTAATAGCAGAAATAAACGCTGGGAAGAGTATGTACAATTATGCTGTTAGCGCGAGATGAAAATCCAACATTCTCAAATCTTACCCGAACAACCACAAAGACCACTCCCCACAAAAAATTATTTATCTCAATTTGTGGGTATCAATTGTCGCCATCTATCGGAACGATGGTAAAATGACAATACGGAAGTGCAATTTTAAATAATTTATGCCATAGAAGCACGATTGAATAGCTTTAAGCATTTGAAGCAAAAAACTTATTCAGATAAAATTTAACATTAAAAACTCAGTTTCTAAGCGTATCCATTTATATCGGCTAGTTAATGCTGTTATGGAAATAACAGCTGCTCAATATATGGTACATCTAGTAAAAAATATAGTTTCAAGCCTGAAAATTGTCTTTTTTGCACAAGTGTAATTTCACAAAACTTAGGTATATCTACTGCCAAACTTCTATAGACTGAGGAAGCATACCTTACTGTACACTAAAGAATGCCTTTCCTTCATCCAATTTAAATTAGAAGTATAAAAAATCATAAATGGAATGATACAGAACACATACCCCAAAACAACACAAAAGAATTATGATGTATATTTTAAATCAGTGTCAACATCTAACACTGAAACTTACAAAGAGAAACAGAAGCAATATCCAAGATAAGGATATTAAATTTTGTAAAACTACTGAGGAAAGAACCAGATAGAAAAGAATTTGAAATCAAATCTTAATAATAGTAGTTGAAATCCAAACTCTGTGAACATAATTTTAGGGGAATTTACTGTAATGGTTCTGACACTTAAAGATGGTAAATAGAACAGGATATCAAGAAGGGAATTATTATTAACATTTAAAGGAATGACACAGAACAAAGATCATTCAGCCAGACAAAATATGACTTCATGAAAAAAGAGAAGAGCTATTAAGAAATCTAAAAGGAAAGGCTATGGTATGACATAAGAGAATGTAGACTGACCAGCAAAAACAGAAGATGCCAAAAGCAGTAAACAATATAACAAACTTCCATTCATGTTCAAAATTATCAGTCCTCACAGCAGGAACATTTTGGAAGGGAAAGAAATGTCTTATATATACATCTTCCACTTACTCATTGAGTTTATTTTGTAACAAGTTTCTTATAAAAGCAATCTGGGGGTTCGTGGATGTACACATAATCACAAGAAGTCACTCCCCAAATTGTGAACACATGGTTACCAACTGTTAAATGTTACACACCAATACACCAAATATCACACTTTTACATCAATAAAAGAATACTGACCACAATTCAAATTTACATTTATCTGGGTACTTTACCTCAAATGAATCACCATTTAAATTTTAACTGCACCAACAGTTTCATCAAAATAATGGGTAGGTTGGGAATTGAAGAATGTCAGAACAATATTACACTTGTGTAGTTGTAAACATATTACTTATCTATTCTGAACAAAAACACAGACTAGACAATAAGAGGTATAAGAGCATTACTGGCTACAACAAAGGTTTTGTGGAGTACTAAGAGAAACAAGATGGGACAATTCTAATGTAATATCAGGCATGATATAAAAATAGAAGCACTATAAAAGAAGTGTATCAAATTTACGGATATATCAGTATGGAGATGACTAGGGCAATTCGATTCTTTTGAGACAAATAAGGATGACAACTACTGGACCAGGTAAAACGAATAAATACAGAAGAGAACAGAAACAGAAAAAGGTTGACACAGACACAAGATAAGTGCTTACTACAAAAAAGAGAATGGAAGAGAAATCTGTCATAAGATAACTAACGCAAGTGGTTCACAACTCAGTTGGCTCAGGTCCCCAGTTATATTTTAATGCAATACAGACAGACAGGAAAGAGGAGAAATAGAATGTTACAATTCCAAAAGTAATTTTTAAAAAAATTGTTCACAAACATTAATTTGTTTAAACTCAGAACTCAAATATCAAGCTATATAAATAATGCGAGTTGCTAAAAGACAATGTATGCATGTAAATATGTAATGTATTAGCAGTGTCAGATTTTGGCAGTACATATTAAATATCAGCCAGATAATCTGAAAGAGATAGCACCTGTTGCTTCTCAATAAGATCTCAAAAATATTTATGGCAATGTGCCTGCACATTCCTTTTTGCAGGTATTTGTTCCCATATCCACTTGGAAGGGTAATAATTGTCTACAGATACAGACATACAGTACTATGATCTGAACTTGAACAATTTGTACTGCGATGGACAATCGACAATATAAATACTTTATACACTAATTTTTGTATGCACACAGCTGAATAGATTTGTTGTACCAGCATTTACAGCTTAGATGAAAGTTTTGGCACAATTTCATTCCACCATGTTGGTCGTTGCATTGCTCCTGAGTTGTGAAAGAAGTGGGCTTGAAGATTATCATATAGCTGGATATAAAAATAAATGAATTAGACTTCATGCCTTATATTGTAATTAATATAAAAGACATGAAAATCAATGCTTTAATGTTCTTTTGACAGTGACCTCAAAATCAAATTTGCTGCACATCCAAAACACAGAGGATTCCACATTCAAAGAGTACCAATGAAGCAAACTTACCGAGGTTGAAATTTCAAAAACTGACCTATTTGTCATGTCACACCTGATTTGGGTAAAACTAGGAGTTATGTTACTGCATAATTGCAAGCCTATGTTTCAAATAAATAGCCATTCACCATGCCAATGATCATGAAAACACTTATAAACAATCTTTCTTGGTTCAACGCCACTAATACCAAAGCCCATCACTGGATGTCATCCAGAACTAGATCTATACACCTCCCCTCTTTATAACCCATTTTCATAATATCTTAATTTATTCATCATTGAAGTGACCATTTTCCACCAATTCTTTGTATTTCCTGTCCTCCCTTTCCTACATGCATGCCCTGGCCAACATAGCTATCTATATATCACTATCCTAATGATAATAGGTAAAACAAGTATAAACCACAAAGTTTGTATCATGTAATGTCTTAAATTCCCCAGGAACTTAAAAAACTGAAAACTAATCTTAAATTTCTACAGGCTGCATGCAGACCCACTGAACACCATTAACTCTATGGCATGCTTCTTTATACAAACCTTTCCATCTGACTTCCCTATTACAGAATTCAGAACAAAATCTGGAGGAGCTAGAGAGTCGGCAACAGCCACAGCCTCTGACTTTAGCTGGGAACACATCTGTAGAATACCCTCCTTGACTAGATCAGCGAGGTTGGAGCCTGTTGCGTACCCACCTGCGTAAAACATACTGCAAACACTAACCTATATGATGTGGTTTGGTTGGCTCATTAATGGGTTTACAGTCAACAAATGAAACAACTTAAATTCAAAATACAAAAATTGGAATTAAATGTAGTGCAATCTGAAGTAAAGTGGCAGCATTTCTTCCATACCGGATGTACTAATCACAGACATATAGTGTGGTCATTTAAATTATGTGATGGTCTTTTACTCCACTACAGATGTAATGATTATACGACTGTGACTGTGTCTTCTGGAAATATGTAATGCATTTCCTGTGCTAGATACATAAATATTATATGGCCATGAGTCAGTTACTGTGGTTTGAAAACAAAATAAGGTTAATGTAGAGTAGTACATATGACATACTTCACGACTGTATTGCTGTTACATTAAAATTAATATGAATCAGGTTCCAAGGATGTGAACAAGATGGAAATGGCACCAAGTTACATCCAACTGTTTGTTTTGGGATTAGCAATGTTTAAATTTGTCTGTACATCAGAGAATAAACTTGCATTTTGAAGATCATCTTTCTGTAAATGCATAAATAGTTTTTGCACAGCACTCACTACACTCTACTCACTGAGAGCTCAAACTGAATACATGTCAAGTGTACCCCATATTATGACTCACAGTCTCTGATGATAAAATATTCCTTCACTTCTTGCCTGATACACACAAGGCATACTCCAGGTATAACAGGTGAATCATTACTGCTGTAACAATAATTTATTTTTATTTAGTGACTGTGTTCTTTCATAGTTTAATACTGCACCAACTACCTTTCTATGCAGTTTGTCAAAGTGTGTAGGAGCTATACCTTCTCTACCCCCCCCCCCCCCCCC